AGGGGCATTCAACCACTGAGCCACATCCCCAGCCCTTTTTTTGTATTTTATTTAGAGACAGGGTCTCACTGAGTTGCTTACCATCTCACTTTTGCTGAGGCTGGCTTTGAACTTTCGATCCTCCTGCCTCAGCTTCAGGAGCTGCTAGAATTACAGGTGTGAGCCACTTCTCCTGGCTTTTAAATACTCACCTAATTTGCATGGATAAAAAGAATCATAGCTTCCCCTTTGCCTGTTCTCCTCTCCTTGAGGACAGGTTTTCCTGTCTGGATTAATTTTGTGATTGGCATAATGTAGAAAAGAGAAAAAAAAAATGCTGGCACAAAATTGTCCACCAGCTTTTTTGTTTTGTTTTTTTTTTGGAAAGCAAACTGTGCCCAGGGAGATATTTTAATATGATGTTTGGCATTTTTCTTTCTCCCGTGTTTGAAGCATTCCAGGCCCAGACTTGATTAGAATCCTGTTCTCGCTGACCTGTTGTTATTGTGCATTGCTATATTAATTAGCAGATCATAATGAAACTCCCTTCCTGTTACTGCTGCTGTTTTCCTACGGCACCCCAGTATTTTGTATCCTCTCAGACTTGTGGGTTAAAAATTTGAATGTCACATTAAAACCTAAAAAGACATTTGTGATTTTTTTATTCACTGGTGATTATGATTTCTTATTAAATTCAATAAAACCAATTTGAGGAATGATAGTCCTGTTTTAATTTCTGCCCTTTTGCTTTTAAATGTCTCTTAGACTGGACGAGAAGGTGCAAAGTTATCATCTACAGATAAAAGGAATTCTAGGTACCCTGAAAAAATATTTTGTGCTTATTGACCTCTGTTGCTTTAGGTTTTTATTTTGGGAACTCTGTTATCTTTTCTTTCAAAAGAGACCCAAAGAGAAACTGTACATCACTAGGCCCATCCCACCTAATTTCCTATGCTTCCTTCCTTTAAAAATTTGTTATTACTCCCCTGAACTCCGATGATGGATAAACTCTGGATTAGTGAAGACAGAAATTACAGCGCTAGCTGGGTACAGTGGTGCATGCCTGTAATCCCAGTGGTTCAGGAGGCTGAGGCAGGAAGATCTCTAGTTGAAAGCCAGCCTCAAGAATTTAGAGAGGCCTTAAGTAACTCAGTGAGACCCCGTCCCTAAATAAAATATAAAAAGGGTTGGCGATGTGGCTCAGTGGTTTTCGCCCTTGGTTCACCCCACTATGCCACAAAAAAGAAAAACAGAAATTACAGAACTAAATTGAGAGTGCATTTAGGACCAGGGCTGGTGGACAACAGGAGTCCAAGGGTGAGCATCCTCCCTAAGGAGGGCTCCGGGGCCACTTTTCAGTGGCATGCACACTGCTGGCCCCAACCATACCCTCCCTGCCTCTTCTGAGTATGCAAGCTCATCTCTACCTCATTTTAAAGAGGACACTTTGTGGGCACATGTTCCTCTCAAAGGTTGGGAAACAGTACTGTTAGTAAAGCTCATGCAGTCCTTTATGTGGACCCTGGGTCCCTTTCTTGCCATGCTGGGGTTTTTGTTTGTTTGTATGTCGATGAAGCTGGGAGTTGAACTCAGGGCCTTGCTCATGCTAAGCAAGTGCTCTACAGCTGAGCTACACCCCTGGCCCTGGCATCCTGTTTTTGAATTGCTGTYACTGTCTTGGCCAGAGCATCCTGAAAGAAGTAATTGCTTTGGTTTCTCCATGGTGGATTATTTGAAGAGTGAATTCATTTCAATTATTCAGCCAACAAATATGTATGTCGTGTTTACAGTGTCAAAGAACTATTTATGACCCTCGGGGTGTTTAAAACTAGATATTAACACAGATAATATTCATATAAAGTATGTC